GCAGTAATGTTCTCCATGTTTAGATCCATTTATTCCTCAGTCGTCTTTTCTCCAGACCAAGAGTAGATCCAGACTTTCTTACAGCCTAAGGATTAGACGCTTTAGGAGTGCAAGGGGACTCGCTGTAGGGAAATGAAAGCAAAGGAATGTGCAGAGCCTTGGGGAAGGGGTGTATGCAGATGAAGGGCCCTAAGGCTTCATAAGCTACATGGCAAATCTCCTTCTGCTCCAGGCCAAGCTACTGCTGTTTGTTTCTCAGTTCCTTATAGATGCTACTTTCCAACCCTTGAATCATGTTTACCTTTTTCTGGACTCTTTCCTGAAATGTATTCTTAGATTTTCGAACCTACTCCAAACCTAACTCTAATGCCCTAATGACCTTCACCCCTCAGATAAGAGTCAGGGGCCACGATGGTTCCCTCCTCAAGCATCATTCAGTGTTTCTGCTGATTCACGGCATAAATGGAACCATCAACCAGGTCCTAACTACTGACAATGATGGCCTCGCTCTCTTCAAGCTGGATACGGTTAACTGGAATGGGAGATACGTTTCTTTGGAGGTAAGCACTGGGAGGTCCAGCTTTCCAGCCAGGAAGACTTTCCTGAAGGAAAACTTAAAAATTTTCCTTTTATTTCACCCCCTTCTCCCCCCAGTAATTCTGTCTCCCTCACTCACCAGTCTTGTTCCCCAGCTGACAAAAAGTTTTTTTGGTCCCATTTTTAATACCAATTAAATAAATGACCCTTCAGATAAAAACTACTATTTCTACTAATTCATTTTATAATTTATCTCCATCTTTATCTGATTCTTTGTGAAATCAGTTTAGGGAGGGAAAAATGGTTCAGAGTCATCTTCTTATTTTCCCCCTCTCCCTATTACTCATATAAAATGACAAAGAAGAGACTTCTAGATTTTGCATAATGTATAAGAATGGTTACTTGTATCAGTTATCAATTGCCACACTTTGCTGCGTAACAAACAACTACAAGACTGTAGTGTTACACAGCAGGGAGCATTTATTGCTCCTGTATCTAGGATAGTCAGATAGGCAGCTCGGCTGATCTTGGTGGACTTTTCTTATATCTGTGGATCAGCGGATTATAGGCTGGCCTTCCACACATCTCCTGACCCACCAAGCTAGCCCAGGTATAGTCTCATGGCGGCAATGAGATGCAACAACAAAAGGGCTTTTCCAAGCCTCTACTTATCTCACTGACTTGTATTCCCCATACAAGTCAGACGGTGGGTCCCCAGTTAGACTCCAAGGGTGCTGTGAGATTACATGGTAAAGGACTTTGCTACAGAGAGGGGTGAAGAACTGGAGCCTTTAATGCAATAATTCAGCTCCATTACTTACACAAATACATACTGTTTGTACTGTGGCTAATTTACTTTTTTCTGTACTCTCAGCATCACTCGATCACTCTACTTAGAAATGATTATTTTCAATCCTACTAACCTCTATACCTCGTTTCCTTATCCATGAGATATAGTCTTTAATTTCTATATCATCTTAGTCAGATTTATTCATCCTCTGTATCAGTCTGTGAAGGTACATCAGCCACAATTTCCCATTACCTGGCAACTGTAATTCAGCCCTTATTTTACTCCCCTATGTACCGAAATGCTGCTGCATGTAACCACTGATATGGACTTCTCAAACATCATTGGTAGGACCTCTTGTGAGATAGCTACAGGCCATTCTTAGGCAGTGCAGATTTGAGAACCATGACAAGTCCACGGGGTGATATCGTTGGGATACATGCTAAAGGCCTTTTTTTTTCTCTATTTCTCAGGGCAGGTTCCAGCTGGAAGATTTGGAGTATAATCCAAAACAAGTGCATCGTTACTACCACAACGCCTACCTGTACCTGCACCCTTTCTACAACACAACTCGCAGCTTCCTTGGCATCCGCCGGCTGAATGGCGTCCTGGAGTGTGGCCAGCCCCAGGAAGTGCTGGTGGATTATTCCATTGATCCAGCTGACTTGGACCCTGACCAGGAAATCATCTTCTCCTACTATGTGAGACTGGGGAGTGAGGACTGGTGAGAGTGTGTCATGAGGGAAAGAGAATGAGGACAGTGACCAGAGAGGGTGAACAGACAGTCAAGACAGAGATGTAATGCAAGCCACATAGATAATTTCTAAATTTTTAGGAGCCACATTAAAGAAAAAATTAAAAGAACAGGGAAAACTAATTTTTAAAATATATTTTATCTAACCCCATATATCCCACATATGATCTTTTCCACATGAAATCAACATAAAAATCATTAATAGATTACCTTGTTTGTTTCAGGTGCATTTCAAATCTTTGAAACTTAAAGTATGTATTTTATACTTAAAACAGTTTGGACTAGTCACATTTCAAGGGCTCCAGTCATCACATGTGTCCAGTGTGTAGGTATAAAGGATGGGGGAATTAGGGAATAAAGAGATTTTTGAAGAGGAGTCTGGAGAAATTGTGTGGGGAAATAAAATGAGGTGAGAACGTGTTGCTGACCAGGGAGGAGGGGAGCTGGGTGGACAGGTGGGAGGGGGGATGAGGAGGGGATAGGGATGTAGAATAAATTTCATTCTGTGTTTCCTTGGTCAATATCTTAAAATAGATGATATAGGGTTAAAAATGAGCATTGATAGCAGCTCTGCTGGGGAAATAAAATCACAACTGGACACCTGAATGAAATGTATAAAGACAAGCAGTTTTACTGGTCACCTTGATGATGGTGAGGGAGTGGACTCACGAGAACCTCGGGTTTGATGGTCCAGAGTCTCTTTATTCCCTTATCATCTTCTTAAAGTCTCTGAGTCATTCCAGTGTCTTCATCAAGCTAAAACAATCACCCTGACACAACAGAATGAGGTGGGAAATAATGAGGCAGAGGGATAATACCAGCACTGTCTTAGGGACAGATGTGTGGGGAGGCCCAGGAGAAAGGTGGAGTGGGGCTGATCAGTGTGGAAGGCAGTCTGAAGAACTGGCCTTGCAGCCCTTGACTGGAGCCTGAAATGACAGCCTACTTAGAAACAATGTCACTGAATTTGGCTTCAAGTGGAAGTGATCAAGAAAGGAGAGTCAAAAAGGGAGATTTTTCCTCCAGAGAGTCAAGCATCAGAAGGACTCAAGACAGTTCAGAGTGCACTCATTTCCACTGAATTTTGAATTGAGTGATAATTTTTTTAAAAAGGTTGAAAGGATGGGTTTTAGCAGATTTTATGTTATAAAGACTATAAGAGAGTAAAACCTGGAGATCTTTAAGAAATGGTATCAGCCATCCATCACGGAGAATGGTTTCTCTTCTGTCTGGCCCCGAGGCTTTGTCTCCTCCCACCCACTCCCTGGTTCTCAGCAGACCTCTAACTGGAGGAAGAGTCATCAGGACTCTTGGTACCATCAGACATTTGACAAGCTGAAAGATGCTCTGTGAAGTACTGACCTGGGCTCTGGAACTGTGAAAGGAGCCTCTCTTTATGGAGAGATGCAGTGATAGGTCCAAGGCTAACTCCCCAAACTTCTATGTTGTTGATGATTCTTCTCTCTTCCTTAGTTAATAGGAAAAGGGAGTCTGGAGATGGAGGGGCAGAAACACCTGAACTCTAAGAAGAGAGGTGAGTGTTCATGCAGCTCTTGGGAGGGCTTAAACGTTAAACTTCCAGTAAACAGTTCTTATATTAGAAGCAAGAGTAGGAGCCATGAGAACAGAGCAGAGCAATAACCATAGAAGAATAGGAAAGTGAGACTGAGACGTCACCTGCCCCGTGTGGCTTGCGCGGGCTCCAGGAGCAGTGCAAGCACAGGGTTGGATGCCACTAGTAGGTGAGTGTGTTCACGCACCCCTGAACATCCCCTCTTCTCTTTCAGGACTGAAAGGCTCCTTCTCTCTCTCACTGACCTTCAGTGCCAGACTAGCCCCTGACCCTTCCCTGCTGATCTATGCCGTTTTCCCCAGTGGAGGTGTTCTAGCTGACAAAACTCGCTTCTCAGTAGAGATGTGCTTCGACAACCAGGTAAAATGGCAGTTGAGGAGGGTGAAGAAAAGGTCTGGGCGCAGAGAGAGAGTTGTGTGTGCTGGGGTTGGAGAAAAGGCAAGGGCAGGAAAAGAAGGAGAAAATCTTGATGTTGGATATCGTGTTCTGTCTCTTCAGTATGTTTTGTTGAACTCTCCACCTCTCCTGGTTCTTTGTAAAAAGCTGTGCTGGGAAACCGTATATTCTGTGTAGCTGCCCCGGGTATTCTCTCCCTTTCTACTTTCTGTCTTTTAAACTTTCTGTATTATTCTACTGTGCTGCTCACTTTTTCTAGTTGTATCACAAGACACTGGTTCTAAAGGGCGAGATTTTACTGAGAAAATCAGGATAAAGGGAGTGAAGGAGTGGGCTGGGGACCATACTTAGGGTATATGGCTGGTGATTGTTTTTCCTCCTCTCCAGGCTGGCCTGATTATTCTTTTCCCTTCCCCAGGTTTCGCTTGGCTTCTCACCTTCCCAGCAGCTTCCGGGAGCAGATGTGGACCTGCAGCTGCAGGCAGCTCCCGGGTCCCTGTGTGCGGTCCGGGCAGTGGATGAGAGTGTCTTGCTCCTTAGACCAGAGAGGGAGCTGAGCAACAGCTCCGTGAGTAGTCCGCTAATGTGGCGGGGGGGGGGGGGTCGA